AAGGGATAGATTGAAGTGGTGGGAGCTGCAGCTGTTTGAGATAAATCAGCAGCTGTTCCAAAAAGATTTGCCTTATTCTGGGTGGCTATCACACTTGAAAGGGAAGACACCAGAGAAATGGATAATGTTAACTGTTGGTCTGAAGATCTAAGGGATAGCAGAATTGAGGCTATATGGAAGTAGAAAAACCAAGATTTGTGGGGGGGTGAAGAGATGGACTATAAAAAAAAGATGTGTCATTTCATATTTACAGGCCTTGGACAAGATTCGCTATGAGAGCCTGACAGACCCTTCCAAGTTGGACAGTGGTAAAGAGCTGAAAATTGACATAATCCCCAACCCTCAGGAAAGGACTCTGACTTTGGTGGACACAGGCATTGGCATGACCAAGGCTGATCTCATAAACAACTTGGGAACCATTGCCAAGTCTGGAACTAAAGCATTTATGGAGGCTCTTCAGGTATGTAGCACTCCATCTATGCACATATTAAAATTTAGGATTTCTTTTTGTCTTGCTGTTTCAAATCTCATATTTGATTTTTAAAAATATTCTTTGGCAGGCTGGTGCAGACATATCCATGATTGGGCAATTTGGTGTTGGATTTTATTCTGCTTATCTAGTGGCAGAGAAAGTGGTTGTGATCACAAAGCATAATGATGATGAACAGTATGCTTGGGAGTCTTCTGCTGGGGGATCCTTCACTGTGCGGGCTGATCATGGTGAGTTGGCTTTCCATATGGAAGTAGCTGGGTTAGAATTCTCTGGAAGAAGAGAGAGAAATCTTGAGTATGATATTTGTGGAGCAGTTTCTTTTTCTTTTCTTTTTTTTGGTACCTGGGATTAAACTTGGGCACTCAAACCACTGAGTCACATCCCTATCCTATTTTGTGTTTAGAGATAGGGTCTCGCTGAGTTCCTTAGTGCCTTGCTTTTGCTGAGGCTAGCTTTGAACTCATAATCCTCCTGGATTATTGGTGTGTGCTACTGCTCCCGGCATGGAAAGTTTCTTTTAAAATCATTAATGCTTTTAGCCTCACAGCTTTATACTTTATTGTGATTGATTGATTCTTCTAGGTGAGCCCATTGGCCGGGGTACTAAAGTCATTCTCCACCTCAAAGAAGACCAGACAGAGTACTTGGAGGAGAGGCGGGTCAAAGAAGTGGTGAAGAAGCACTCACAGTTCATAGGCTATCCAATCACCCTTTATGTGAGTACCAACCAGGCTGGCAGCCTATCTGCACTGAGTGTCTATGGTTGTGGAGTTTTGTGGTCCCTGGCTTTGTTTTCCTGGTGTTGTGTTTTTCACACTTAACCACTATGTTTGGTACTTTAGTTGGAGAAGGAACGAGAGAAGGAAATCAGTGATGATGAGGCAGAGGAAGAGAAAGGTGAGAAAGAAGAGGAAGATAAAGATGATGAGGAGAAACCCAAGATTGAAGATGTGGGCTCAGATGAGGAGGATGACACTAGTAAGGATAAAAAGAAGAAAACAAAGAAGATTAAGGAGAAATATATTGATCATGAAGAACTGAACAAGACCAAGCCCATTTGGACCAGAAACCCTGATGACATCACTCAGGAAGAATATGGAGAATTCTACAAGAGCCTAACCAATGATTGGGAAGACCACCTGGCAGTCAAGGTGAGAAACCTTATATGTGGGCTCAGCTGGAGAGGAACAGGTAGAAGTGTATTGGCAGATAGTAGAGTCCACAGTGGACTTGCCCAACTGGTTGGTAGCTGAGACTGTGAGAGTCATGGAGCCCCATGAGTTCACTTATTACTAGTGACCCTGCCACAGTAGAGAGATTCTGTTCTCCTGAACGACTTCACTTTTGTCTTTTAATAGAAATCTGGGTAATGTTGATGGCAGCCTTACACATAACAGGGTTCTGATTGGAGAACTATTCTCTTAATTCAACAATTATATATAGCTAGGATAATCTAAGATTTATTGGCATTAGGGTTCAGGATTTTTTTTTTTTTTCTCTCCTTATGGAGGCTCTTCAGGTATATAGCATTCCAGTTGTAGATGCTTTGGTGTGGCTGAAAAGCACTCTTGTCCTGAAATGTTGGGTTTTTCTCCTAGCACTTCTCTGTAGAAGGTCAGTTGGAATTCAGGGCATTGCTGTTCATCCCTCGGCGGGCTCCCTTTGACCTCTTTGAGAACAAGAAGAAGAAGAACAACATCAAACTCTATGTCCGTCGTGTGTTCATCATGGACAGTTGTGATGAGCTGATACCAGAGTATCTCAGTGAGTGTTTCCTGTGTCTGTTATAGTGGGTAAAGTCTTTTGAGATCTGCAGTGTTCTCCTGGGATTGTAGTCTGAGAAGGGTAATAGTAAGTGAAGGTTCAGGGAGCAAAAGAGCCTTCTGCTTGAATCTGGGTTTGGGTCTTGTTATTTATATTGAATTTTCTGCCATTTGATTGCAGATTTTATTCGTGGTGTTGTTGACTCTGAGGATCTGCCCCTGAATATCTCCCGAGAAATGCTCCAGCAGAGCAAAATCTTAAAAGTTATTCGCAAAAACATTGTGAAGAAGTGCCTTGAGCTCTTCTCTGAGTTGGCAGAAGACAAGGAGAACTACAAAAAATTCTATGAGGCATTCTCTAAAAATCTTAAGGTATAGAGGCAAATGCTTATTCCCTTTGACATTTTTTTGGGGGGGGCACTTTACCACTAAGCTCAGCCCTTTTTATTTTTGTGATAGGATGTCACTATGTTGGCTGAGGTTGGTCTTGACCACTTTCTTAGTAATTAGAGTGTATTTCCTCATTTATTGGAGAGGAAGGGTATTATCTGTTAGGTTATTTTTTAAGTTGGGTTATTTTTTTTCCTCCTACCCTTAAGCTTGGAATCCATGAAGATTCTACTAATCGGCGACGCCTTTCTGAGCTGCTGCGCTATCACACCTCTCAGTCTGGAGATGAGATGACTTCTCTGTCAGAGTATGTCTCTCGCATGAAGGAGACACAGAAGTCCATCTATTACATTACTGGTGAGTTAAAACCTAAGTCTCATCAAAGCCTCCTATCTGGGGTTGGATGGACATCAGGGCTAACTGGGAACTGGCAGTGTAAATCCTTTTGGTCACTAAGTCACATTAAATAACTTTACAGGTGAAAGCAAAGAGCAGGTGGCCAACTCTGCTTTTGTGGAGCGTGTGCGGAAGCGTGGCTTTGAGGTAGTATATATGACTGAGCCTATTGATGAGTACTGCGTACAGCAACTCAAGGAGTTTGATGGGAAAAGCCTGGTCTCTGTGACCAAGGAAGGCCTGGAGCTACCTGAGGATGAGGAGGAAAAAAAGAAAATGGAGGAGAGCAAGGCGAAATTTGAGAACCTTTGCAAGCTTATGAAAGAAATCTTGGATAAAAAAGTTGAGAAGGTGAGAAATTTGGATACATTTTTGTAATCTCTTTGGGGGCTGCTGTTTTCAGAATTTAATGTTGCTGATTAGGAGGTTTACTTTGTTTAAGCCCCCCCCCCCTTTTTTTTTGTGAGTACCATACTCCGGGTCCTCCACTACTGAGCCACATCCCCACTTCTGTTTTGTATTTTATTTAGAGACGGGATCTCACTGAGTTGCTTAGTGCTTTGTTTTGCTGAGGCCGGCTTTGAACTCTCATCCTTCTGCCTCAGCCTCTCAAGCGGCTGGAATTATAGGCATGTGCCACCTGGCTCAGCAAGATCTTATTTCTCTTAGTCCATTATACAAAATTTGATGGAGATTAGGTATTAATTCTTGTGTTTGGGAACATAGAAACTTAAAAAAAATATGGACCATAATTTTTAACCTTTCAGATGATCCAATCTAAACCTAAGGTGTTTGATTTTTTTGTTTGTTTGTTTGTTTATTAAGAGAGGGTCTCCTTGTGCTTCTCAGGCTGTCTTCAAACTCCTGAGTTGGAGTGATTCTCCTGTCTTAGTCTCTTGGAAGAGTCAGGACTACAGGTTTGCACCATGCTCCACTAAAAATTTTTTTAACTGTCTACAGGTGACAATCTCCAATAGGCTTGTGTCTTCACCCTGCTGCATTGTTACCAGCACCTATGGCTGGACAGCCAACATGGAGCGGATTATGAAGGCCCAGGCACTTCGAGACAACTCCACAATGGGCTACATGATGGCCAAAAAGCACCTGGAGATCAACCCTGATCATCCCATTGTGGAGACATTGCGGCAAAAGGCAGAGGCAGATAAAAATGACAAGGCTGTCAAGGACCTGGTGGTGCTGCTATTTGAAACTGCGCTGCTCTCTTCTGGTTTCTCCCTTGAGGATCCTCAGACCCACTCCAATCGCATCTACCGCATGATAAAGCTAGGCCTAGGTAGGCACTGTGGACTGATTTGATGTGGGGGCAAGTTCTGCAATTGACCTTTTGGACAGATTTTGTTTAATGCTCTTCAGTTAACATCTCACTGGGCCTTTTTTTTTTTTTTTTTTTAAACATTTAGGCATTGATGAAGATGAAGTGACAGCAGAGGAACCCAGCAGTGCTGTTCCTGATGAGATACCCCCTCTCGAGGGTGATGAGGATGCATCTCGCATGGAAGAAGTAGATTAGGAGTTGCTACTGAGAAATCTGCCCTCTGTATAGTTTCCCCATGGCTCCCACAGTAGCCTTGAGTGGCCCTCTCCCACCTGGCTTCCTCTGCTGATTGATGTTATAGTGGTTTTTTTCTCCTGTCCTTGGCATCTTAATTAAGGCAGGAAATAAGGGCCTCAAGCCCTCTCCATCCCCTACCTAGTTTGGCAGGGTTGGATGTTGTATTGTGTTTTTGTTTTATTTTGTTCCACAATTAAAGTATGCAAAATAAAGAAGATGCAGTTTTATACAGTTCTGCTCTCCCTTGTAAAGTGATGCTGCTTCATAGCATTCTCTATCCGTATAATATAAAAACTCGCTGTTGACCTGGGCTATGTGCAAGTTTGAAAGTTGTATATATACATTCTCATTTCAATCACTTAAGGCAACCAAAACACAGAGCCAAGTCCATTGCAGCAGTTTAATAAAATTATTATAAGAGCAAAAAGTGACATTTCCTAAGTACCAAAACCTGCAATTGGCTCATGGAGCAGAGCCTAGGACCCCAAGGGCATAGTTTTGTTGAGCAGGGCTCTTCATTCACCTCCCTTGGCACTCCCATCTTTACTCACCCTCCTGGGGAAGCAGCATTCAGACCCTACAATACTTGTGCTTCTCTCAACAGTAAGAAATGAGAGTGTATAGAAGGTAGGGGGCAAGCAGATAAGTTCCACCAGGTGGGTCAAAACTTCATTCTTGGAAGCTTGATGGAGGAGGAGCTTTCCCTTTACACCTCCATACCCCAAGACTTCCTTCTACCCTGAGGCTCAACTTGCCTACTGGAGGATGGTGGCTTAAGGCAAAAGGGAAGATACCTTCTGGGCTCCCTATCCCCAGCTGCAGAGCTGGATTATGATACTGAGAAAACCCATATTTTGTCCTTGAGCCAGCACCTCTGAAAGTATGGTGAGGGTCCTATTCCATTTCACCTCTCAGGTCCTTATCTTTTCAGACCTTCTGCACTGGGGACTCTATAGGTACAGCCTTCTTTCCCCGTTGCTTTAGCCGGCCTCGGGCATAGACTCTGAGCAGGAGGGCAGCAAAGACCACAGCTACCCCTAGCCCACCCACCACAGTGACAGTGTGGCCATAGAGGAGGCAGGAAAGAAGGATGGCAATGGCCTGGCGGAGGGTCATGATGATGGTGAAGACGGCAGCCCCAAACTGCCCAATGGTGTAGAAGATGAAGAGCTGGCCACATGCGGAACAGACAGACAGTAGCAGGGCATGGGCGGCAAACTCACTGTGTCGCCCCATGAAGCGGGTCCCTTCCAGGAGGGCCCCCTGCTGTAGCAGCGAGATTACTGTGAAGAGGCAGGAGAAGAAATTGACCCCAAACATCATCTGCACTGATGACATCTTATAGGCAAACAGGGCATCCTGCCAGTTTGAGGTGAAGCTGTCAAAAGCGATGTAGCCTGCCAATAAGATGAGGCCTGAGAGTGTGGTGGCTGGGGAGCTACGGGGCTCTGGTCCACTGGACAGCAAAAACATGCTGACCCCGATGGAGATAAGTCCAGCTGTCAGGTATTCCCAGTGTTCATAGCTGCGCCGAGACACCAGCTTTCCCATCAGCATGACAGGGATCACTTTAGAAGCCTTGGCCAGCACCTGGGTGGGGAAACTGATGAACTTGAGAGCTTCATATTGGCACCAGCTGCTTAGCACATTTGACAGGCTGGCAAAGGAGTACCGGTACATGGGTGCCCCATGTCGAGGTTGCTTGCAGAGGAGGCAGTAGAGACCAGCCACAATCAGTGCCAGCACACGGTTCATTAGCACCAGGAACTGCGAGTCCGTGAAGCGCTCACCTGGTGATGTGGCTGTGGCCCCATAGCTTCGGGTCATCACTCTTTCCTGCAGCACACCCCAAGTAAGGTAGAACACCTGGGTTGGGGAGGGTAGACAGGAGACAATAAGAGAAGGAAAAAGTAGGCAAAAGTAGATCTTAACTTCCCTCTTCCTCAGGATAATTCTCAATGACAAAGGACAGCATGTGCGTTTCTCTGCAGTAGAAATTTCCTCTCCTAAGTCTGGATTTACCTTGTAGAAAATCCGCTGTGGTGAAAAACATTAACACATGCTTTAGAACTCCCTGGACCCTGTTTGTTCCCACAGTATGGGAACACTAGAGTTAGCTCTATCCAGAGTGTTCTCTTACCTACTTTCAAACTCAGGGAGGCAAAAAGACAGAGTTTGACTCCTATATAGTTCAACATGCTCCAAAAAAGGGGACTAGTACCCACTCTAAAATTCCACACAGTCAGTGCCTTAGGACCCCTTTCTCATGTAGTACTGAATGGCTTCCCCAATCTTTTTTATCAGTGGGTTTACAGCGTATGAAGTACATCAGGGGAGAGGGAAGTATAATAACAGCACAATAGATGTCACCAAAAACTTCGGAAAGAGATGAGCCCTCTTCTGCTCTACACATCATAAAACAATAGTGCATTGTTACTTGCAGTACCAATGCTGGAAAAGCAGAGGGGATGAAGAAAGGAAAGTCACTGCTTCCTCCAAACATTTTGAAGATAGTGCTCTGTGTGTCTGAGAGAAAGGGACACATAACACACAGACCCGCAAACCTTTGAGATGGACAGAATGAAAACTGAGTTCACAGAGTCCCTGCCCACTGAGCTCAATCCAGGACAAGAAGCAGAGCTTGCCTGCCTACCTACCTGGAGCCCCAAGGTACAGAAGAGCAGCTTCAGAGCCTGCCAAGTGGGGGTGGTCTCCACTGTCTCTGTCCGTGGAGCCAGGGGAACCTCATCAGAGGCCTTGGGCTCATTGCCAAACACACAAGCTTTCACCAGGGGGTAGCAGAGACCCCTGCCTGAAGAAGACACATATAGTTAAGTCCCAAACCTCCTCCACAGCAACTCAACCTGCCCTGCTGTCCAGCCTATTGGCCTCCCCCCTCCTTCCCTTTCCAAGTCACATTCCGGTTTGAACCAACATCTGCAATTCACACCTAGCCCTCTTCCCCACCCTCTCTCCACACACCTGTCTCCAGGTAGTTTTTCCTCCTGAAGTAATGCACCAGGAAGTAGCCAGGTACCATAAAGGTGGCATAGCCAGCAGCATTCACCAAAAAGCGAAAGAACCACAGCTGGGTCCATGACTCCGGAGGGGCTTCAGGAGTCTCCCCACCAGCACCCAGGGAAGGGAGCGCAGCCAGTACCACCACTGCCCACCACCTGCTGGGAGCGCGGACATAAGAATTAGAGTGCAGTTCTCCAGCCCTCTGGCCCAAAGAAGGGGACCGCACATAAGTGCCTCGTCTTCTCCCCGCCCCCTCCGCTAAAGCCCAGCGGGACAAAGAGCCTCTCTCTGTCTTGGGGGGTTAGGCGCGGGGCGGGCAGGCAGGGCCTCCTCCCTCCCCGGAGGCGGACCCGCCTCTTTGGCCACACAGGTCCCCTCTGTTCCCTCCAGCGCGCCCAGGCTGTTCTGGCCAGAGACAGCTCCCCCTCCCCCCATCCCGCCTCCCACGTTCCCGGACCGCCAAGGTCCCCAGCTCCTTCTCTCCTCATTCCCCCAAGTCCCACAAGGAGCACAAGCCCACGCCGCGCCCCCGTCAGCACGGCTCCGTGCAGCGCCACGCGGGCCGGCTGCCTGGCGGCTGGGACCCCACCCGGCCCCCAGTGCCGAGAAGCGGCGATCACGTGGCCCAGGGGCTCGATCATGTGCGCTGCCGCTGCCCTAGTCCCCCCACCTGGTGTCCATGACCCGGGCCGCGTGGGGCGGAGGGGGACCGGGGAATGCGAGTCCCCGGGCCGCGCGCACCCTCCGCCGCCTCCGCTAGCAGCCAGCGAGCGGGCGGCTAGCGGAAGTGCCGCGCTCTTGGCGCCTCCCTCTCGGAGGCCGCCCCCCGCCGCCCCCTGCCGCTACCACGCAGCGCCCCGGCCGCGGTGGGCTACAGCGCCCCCGCGCGGCCTGGAGGCAGACGAAGCTGGGTTCCAAGAGGTTGGGCTGCTTTTGGGCGGAGGAGCCCAGAGCCCCAGCCCAGGAGCGACGCCTCCCCCGGGTGTCGTCGCTCTCAGTCCTCACCATCCTGGGAATAGGGGTGACCACTGCCCTCTTGTGGACTGGGACGTCGAGTCTCTGTGTCCCAAATACTTCCCCTTTATGTCATTCTTCAACTTTTTTTTTTTTTTTTGGTACTAGGGATTTAACTCAGGGTCTTACTAAGTTGGCCAGGCTGCTTTTGAACTTGGATCCGCCTCTCTCAAGTCTCCTAAATCGCTGGGATTAGAAGCAACACACCCCACTAGTTCTCCCATGTTCTGACAGGATGAAGATGTCTCCTTCCTTCTTTGGTTGGGCTAGTAATTCTGTCCCCCTCGTCCCCGTGACCACTGAGGCTCCGCATGACCTAACTGACCCATTTCCTCGCCCACTTACCCAGGCCCTGTAGAGCCTCGCTAGTCTATTCTCAGTTCCTCTAATTCTCCAAAGGCTTTCCCCCACCGAAACGCTCTACCCCATCACTTACTCATCCTATGTCCCAATGAGATGACTCTCCTCAGAGGCGTCCCTGGAACATCCAAAGAAGGGTCCCTCACCCACTTTACTGTCCTCTTTCCTCCTCGTGTTTCCCTTCACAGCACCCACTGCATAAATATTTGGATATTTATGATTTTAATGTTTATGAGTGAGGCTGTAAACTCTAAGAGTCAGAGACCATGTTGGTTTATTCCTCCTTTCTTCATGCCAATGTAGGCATCACTGGTATAAAATATGTAAAAAGTTGCAGGTCTCTGGTGCCTAGCCTCCTCTGGCTACTCCAGATGGCAGCCTCCAGGGCCTGTGTCTTCTCATTCCTCTTCCTCTCTCTTCATCCCTCATTTCCACAAAAGGACAAGGGTCTGCACTGGATAGCGACAAGCCTGAGGACTATTAGCTCCTTATCATACCCAGGGGATAAATTTCCTTCTCTTTGCTTTTATCAAAAGGTCACAGAGCAGGTCTGCCTATGCACATGCACAAAGCAACTCTAGAAAGGATGACCCTCCCCAACCCCTTAACACTGGGGATTGAACCAGGGGTGCTCTACCAGCTGTATTCCCCACCTTTTTTATTTTTTTCTTTAATTTTGAGACAGGGTCTTGCTAAGTTGCTGAGGCTGGTCTCAAACTGGTGATCCTCCTGCCTCAGCCTCCTGAGGTTTGTACCACTGCACCCGCGTAGGAGGAAAACACTTTTAAAAAGTCTCTGCTACTTTAGTGTTATGTTACTGCAATGTCCCTTTCTCAAAGGCTCAGTTCAGGGCCTTCTGTTAAAAGTTTTTAGACAAGAGTGTTTTGGAATCTTCAATAGCAGTAAGGTGGGACCCCTCAGGGCCCTGCTTCTTCTATTTCAGTCTCTCCTCACTCAGAAGCTTCCACATTTTCCCACTGGTTGGCAGTTTCAAACTGACCCGACAGTAGAAATGAGAGCCCTGCCATCTCCAAGAGAGGTAAAGAGACTTCACCCAGGATGCCTGGGGCTTAGGCGCCTCTCAAGAATCTCCATCCAGTCCACCTGGGAAGCTCTTTCTTCCAGCCTGGCTCTCTCTGACTTGCAATCTCTTTTCTCACTCAGAACCATACTGGCTCTAGGCTCTGGCTTCAGTAGTCCCTAGGACACCAGAAGGCACATTGGGCCCAGGTTGCAGCAACAGTGGCCCCAGTTTCCTGTCCTGGCTTTAGTCAACACACATCAGCGGCTTCCCGGAGATCTTCAGGTCATCGAAGGGCAAAAGAATAAGGGGCTGAGAAAGAGAATAGAGAGAAGCAAGATCAGTGGCCATGAGAAAAGTCAGTAGTGGAGGAGACCTAGGGAAACTTGTTGGGCCACTCCCTCCTCACCAGAGTTGAAGAACTTGAGGGAATACATCTTTATACTAATGAAGGCCTCCTGACATGGCAGAGCCTTCAGTCTCTAAAATGATGCCAGAATATCCAAGCTAGGAGGGACATTAAAGATGATCCAGCTCTGGGGGCTGGGGCTGGGGCTGAGTGGTAGAGCACTCGCCTGGCATGCATGAGGCACTGGCTTCCATCCTCAGCACACATAAAACTAAAATAAAGGTATTGCGTTCACCTACAACTAAGAATATCTAAATTTTAAAAAATAAAAGATGATATAGCTCTGTATCTACTTTTGTTGGGGGGGGGCCACAACATTCTGAACATTTGTTTTATACTTAACATTTAAAAACAGGAAGACTATACAGAAAACCTGGGTTTCACCTCTTGAAAATTTCCAAGACCTAGAAACATGGGGCCTACATTCCTATGCCTAAGCATTTGCTGGAGCCAAGGAGAGACCCCGAGGTATGGCTCTTTGCTCTCTCCCACGCCTCACCACTTGCTGGTCGTACACCTGGCCAGTTTCACTGATTCACGCTAGTTGTGGAGCCCCTGTAGGAGTATAAATTGGGGCTCTTGGTCCTGATCAACTAAGGAAACCGGTTTGGAGAGGGATAAAGGTTGGCCCATGGTTGCACGATTGGTTGGTAAGTGGCAGAGTCCCGGTTGTACCCCAAGACTCCTAACTCTCTGGTCCTTCCAACTATTGACAGTCCCTATCTCTGCTATGGGTGTGAGAGGCCTTGAAACCAGAATGGAGAAGTTTATGCCTCGTACATCCTCAGCCAGGTCCTGCGGTGTCTCATCTTCCACATTCAGCAGCAGGGAGTCAGCGCCGGCCTCACACAGAGTGGATGAGATGCCACTGAGGCCCCGTCCAGCTGCCAGATGCAGGGGTGTACACCCATTGAGCATGCGGGCATCTACCTGAGCACCAGCCTGGAGTAGGAACTGTACCAGGCCCCGCTCCTGGGTTTCCACAGCTAGATGCAATGCTGTCTTCCCACTGGTGCCCTCCTGGAAAGGCATAAGGATGTCAGCCAAGGCCCTGAAGTGGCAGTGGGATCTGGGAGGAGAGCAGAGGCACCACTTGCCATGTGGGGTAGGGGAACTTGCAGGGGGAAGGCTGGGTCAGGTGCCATGAGCAGGCAGTGCCCTGATGGGTTACCTCACCTGGGCATCAATGTCAGCTCCATTCTGAAGCAGTAGTTCTATGAGAGGCTGGTTCCTCTGCAGAGTGGCAATGTGAAGACAGGCCAGACCTGGGGTAAGGTGGGTAGGGACACTGATTGGCATTCACCAGCTCTCTTTCACTCTCTTCAGGGACCTCCCTAACCCTCAGCCCCAAGGGACTCCTGCCCACTCAATGCCTTTAATCACAGGACTCTTAAAAATGCAACCCCGAAAACCCCCTCAAAAGTCTGAGGGGAAAGGAACTGCAAGTTTCCACCTTTCAGTCATGTTATTGAAACTTTCATGCTTCAGGGGTCAGCCTGCTGAGTGACAGCCCCCAAACATACCCTTCTCCAGGGCACATACCCCTCAAGCCCACACATACTCTAGAACTCTACTTGCCTTCAAGCTCAATCCAGATTTCTCCGAGGAGCCATCTGGGGATCCTCCTGCCCCAGAGTCTCTCCAGGGGCCACTTCCTTCTGTGTGCCCCGCCTTTCTTTGCTTATCTCCTTTTTGGTCTATAACTCTCCCTCCCCCACTCTCTGCTTATAACAGAGATTCAAACGTTATTTCCTTCAAGTTTTTGTTCAAATGACCCTGGTCTTTCCTGACTACCCTTTTTAAAAATCACATCAACCTCCCCACCACAGCACATTCCAGTTCCCCTCCCTCTGCTCTACTCGACCATAGCACTTACTTCCTTTTAACATACTATATAATTCACTTCTTATATTTATTGTCCATCTCTATCTTTCTCATTTTTGTTTTCAGATGGGAGCTGAGCTCCTGGGTAGAATCTGGCACACAGAAAGGCACTCAGTACATTTCTGTTGAATGAATGAAGGAGTTCATTTAATCTCTATTAAACTATATATTTTAAGGACAAAACTTAGATTTCTGCTCAACACTCAGTAGGTGTTGGGTCAATTCTGAATCAAATCATTCATCCATCATCTATTCCTTCATCTAGCAAAGATGTACTGAGTGTCCAGGTGCTTAGAGCTGGAGGAACATCAACAGACAAGCTGAGTCTCCCCCTTTCCTAGGAGTGGGGTCCCTGTTTCCTGCCCCCTCCTCTTCCCCAAAGGCTCTGGGGCTACCCAAACCTTGCCAGTTTTGCAGCTGGAGGTCCAGGGAGTGAGATGTTCCTCTGCCTGGCTCTGGCTGCCCCTCTAGCAGGCAGCGGGCACAGGCCAGATGCTGGCGCTGGCATGCCACATGTAGGGCTGTGTCACCATGCCGATCCTGTAGCACCCGGCTGGCCCCCTTCAGCACCAGGGCCTGAACTGCATCCGGCTGGTCCAGATGAACAGCCAGATGGAGTGCTGTCTGCAGGCACAAACAGAGGGTTAGTCGGCTACTGCAGCATGCTCCCACCTCTGGGACCATGCTAGATGCTAAGGTGGGCATAGCAATATCCAGATGCCATCATTTTCTTTGAGAGCAGCTTACAAAGGCCATAGCCCTGGTCTTCTAAGAAAGTACTAGCAAGTCCTTCCCTCTATCACCCTACCACCAAGTTCATAGGACCCCAGTTCTGGAAGCAGAGTGAGGGAAATGACCCCCTGTTCTTCTCATAGGTCTGCTGAACTCCTAGAGAAAGAACATGTGGGATCAGAGTCCAGTCACTCACCTTCTAGGGAGACCTGTGCTATCCCCTGGGGTTAGGCTGCAGGAATTGGCACTAGGCAGTCTCCCGGGGCAAACTCCTTCCTTCCTTAAGTCTTCATTCAGATGTCACCTCCTGTACTAAGCCTTCTCTACCTGTTCCATAAAGACACTGGACCCTACAGTAGCAGGTATGAGTCTTTCTCACACCGTTTGTCACCATGATGTATAATTAGGCGTTTACACGGGTCCTCCAGACCAGACTGTGCCCTGTGGGCAGAGGCTGGGTCTTACTCATCTCTGCATCCTCCACTTCAAGCCCAGCATCTGGCATATAGGTCCCAAATGAGCAGCCTAAGAACCCTGGTGTGGCTTCTGGGGATGGCTGCTATGGACACAGACTCCTCCTTCTACCTACCTGGTAAAGGTTGTTCTGAATGTCCAAGACCTCCTGGGGCAGCAAAGCCAGGCAACAGAACAGCACCTCTGGAGCCTCGTGAATCACTGCCAGGTGGACCAGCCTGGGGAGCAGGGGAGTGCCTGGGGTCAGGGCCCAGGCCAGAGAGGGTGACTGGGGTCTTGGGTTTAGAGGGACTGTGTTACCCTCTAATTAGCAACCTGAAAGGTAGGTGCAGGAGATGAGTTTGGGCCAGGAAGTGAGGGTTGATGTGGAATGGCAGGATTCTGGGGATGGAGGCCCACATTCCCATTTGTGGCCTTGAGGAGGGCCTTGGCTGGGTGGGCACGTAGGCAGGGTGCTGACAGGACAAGGGCCTTCCTGTCCAGCCTGCCCACACCCTGCTCCCCCCTGCCCCCAGGGCCCTGCGAGGCCAGCTGCAGCTCAAAGCCAAACTGAAAGCCGCGGGAGTGGTGCAGAGGGGGTTTCCAGGGCCGAGCTCCCCACCTCCCCACAACAGGGAGGACAGGAGGAGGCAGATGTGGGGTTCCCCCCAGTAACTCAGTGTTATGCATTCCAAGGGAGGGAGACAGAAGTTCTTGGGAGACAGGCAGGAGACAGCATTTTGTTCTGCTGCCCTTCCTAAGGGAGTCATGAGGGCCACTCCTCAGATGGCACAAGCCAGACGGGGCTTGATTAGTGGCCCTGTGCACTTCTAAGAGGAGATCTGTGCAATGCAGAAAAGGTCTGTTTGATAAAGGGGACAAGAGTCTTAACCTCGAGGTAAGGGGGAGCATCGGGCAAGGGAAGTTCCAGTCTTGGGGTTTCCCCACATCAGGTGGGGAAAATGAAAGCCGGAGCTGGAGGATTTAGGCCTGGACAATTGCCTTGCAGCATTAGTGAGGGGCACATCTTGGCTAAAAGGCCCATCTGGGCTGGGCAGGGGGCTGCTCAGCAGGAGAGGGGGCAGGCTTTGGCTGCAGGCAAGCGGCAGGAGAGGCCCAGGAGAGAGTGACGAGGGAGGGAGGAACCGCTCTGGAAATCCCCTCGGCCAGGGCCTGCTCTCTGGGTCACATTCCTGCAGCCACCTCCCTCTCTCCCTCAGTCTCCCCTCCTCCCACTTCCTCTTCCCACTTCCACACCTCCCACAGCCCAACAACCTCCAAGGGAGGAAAATGCCCACCTTCTCTTGAGGGACCTGCTGGGAGTCTTTGCACCTCTCTCTCTCTCTCTCAGACACACACACCACCTGTCTCTAACTAGATATGGTAAAGGCTGAGGCTGAGAGGCCAATGAAAGAGGGAAGTATCAGAAGTCCCATTCACTGGATCAAAGGTCAGCCATAGATAGATATCTTGCATGAAGCCCCTGAAACCTTGGAGTTCTGGGGTAGTGATCTAGGCACAGAGTACAAAAGCCCTAGGATCTCTCCTCTCCCACTCACTGGGTCTAGAGGATAACTATGTCAACATCCACCAAAGATTACAACTCCTGCATCTCCAAAAAGCAGGTCAGAACAGGCACCCCCGCCTCCCCTATGCCTATTCATTTCAGCATCTCTGATCAGGGACTCCATCCCTCCTCTCCCATTTCTCACCCCGAAATCCCAGCTGCCAGTGTTTTCTTCTTTTCAAGTCCTCAACTGACCATCCCATCCCACACAATCACTTGTAACTTCAGCTGTCCCCTGGCCCAGTGCCCATCAATCTCCCTCTGGGCCTGGGAGAGGAAGAATAGAATGAGGGGGTAAGACAGAACAGTAGGGAGGATTTGGGGTGCTCAGGAATGAAGGGTGTTGGGGGCTGACTTCAGCCCTCACTTCCCCTTTCTCAGTAGAGGAGGAAGTAAGCTGGGGCAGCCAGTCGCCTGTCTGCCTGGGCACTCTGGCCCCAGCCTAGTCACTCTCTTCTTCTCAGGGCCAGTCCCAACCCTGCACCCTGCCAGCACCCCCATCCCAAGCTTCCTGGCACTGAATGGCAACCTGTAACTGGTGTCTCTTTTTCCTTGAGACAGGGCATTCTGAGGTCAGGAGCTGGGAATCCCAGATATTGAGCAAACACGGATGCCCCCTCCCCCAGCAAGTTAAAAAAAAAAAAAAAAAACTGGACTGGTCAGGGGAATTTTCTCTTCCCAGGGATGGGTTATTGGTAGATTTCCAAGATACTGGCTGGGGTTCCAGGTGCCTGGGTAAGAAATGTGCTAACTCTAATAATTTCCCAAAAAGAGGACAAATAAATGATGACAAGTCCTCTGGTCTGGACCTGGCTAGAGTACAAAAGTGGGCTAAGAGTTAGTAGGGAGTTTGGAAGAGAGTGGGGACTGTCCCTTCCACCGTGGGGGTACCTTGGGGTGTACTCTGTGGGTAGTGGTGGGGTACCTGGACAGTTGCAGCCCCTGGAAAGCCCAGAGTTAGTATTACATCTCAGCCTAGCCCCCATACTCACGTGTCTCCGTCCTCAGAGATATAAGTGAGTGCTTCGAGCTGTGGGCTCAGCGCCCCCGCGGAGGGCAGTGACGATCCTGGGGCTGGGTCCTCAGCCTCGGGATCTCCCAGCAAGGGCAAGGGCTCGGTGAGCGAGGAGGAGCCATAAGTGGAGTCAGCCCGCTCCCCGTCCCCGTCTTCCTTTTCCCGCGGCTCCTTGGAGGTCCTCGGAGGATGGGTCCAGGGCTGGGGGCTGCAGCCGTCCGAGGGCCTGGAGCCTGTGGCCGGGGTGGGCTCCGGTAGGGAACGCAGAGAGCGTAGAGACTCTATGCCGGAGTCACACTGGCTCTCGTCCGCCTCGTCCGGCCCCTTCCGCGCCTCCGACATGCCCGCGGCGCCAGCCCGCTGGGGCCGGGTTCGAGCAGGATCGGTCTCCGGGCTACGCCGCGCGGCCTTTCCGGGTTGCGGGTCCGCCTAGTAAAGACAGCGCCGGGCTCTCAGTTGCCTCGGTTCCAGGTTGTGCCGGCGCAAAGACTGGACGATAAGCGCGGACGAGGTTAGCAGCGTCGATCCGGTCCACGGCAGCCGTTTACTCTGGGCAGCTGGGCAGTCCAATCAGGTCCTCCCTCTCGCCCCACCCACTCGGGCCAAAGAAGTGGCCGCCCTGGGATGGCCCCGCCCCGGGCCCCGCCCCGACGGCGCTTCCGGGCAAAGGCCCCGCCCCTCCGGAATCCCCCTTGCCGCCTCTGTGCGTAAGTTCAGAGTCCATGGTTACCCGCTCTGACTCACTCCTTCGTTGATTAATTTGCCTGTTCATCATTCATTCATTCATTCATTCGTTCATTTTCTCACTCTTTCCCCCTTCCTCCTTTATTCCATTCATTAATTCCATGCAGTCATTCTTTTCTTCCTTCTGTTTCTTTGTTTGTTTTGAAGGAATATTAATTTTCTGCACAAGCTGGGAGTCTTGTGGGGAAAGCACGTAGGTGGTGGGCTGGGAAGCACTGCTTCCTATTCGCAGCCTATTTCTCTCGATTTTTCTTGCTTTTTCATCTTTCCAGGTTCAGGAGTATAGGTAGAAAAGGGATCCATTATTATTAGAGAAGAAATTCTTCCCTGTAGTCCCACATAGAGAGTCATTTCTCCAGATCACATAGAATTGGGCAGGAGAATATGTTTTTATTAAATGGGGTTTCTCAGGCAGACTTGTTTAACAGGCAGAGTGCTCATGGGTTTCTTCTTCCTCACAGGGTGAGCACTGACCTTGAGTGGTTACAGTATCTGGCCACCCCGAATGGTCAGGGAAATTTAGTTCCTTAAGGTAGGGCCAGGGTGGAGAGGCCCCAGACACACTGCTGAGGCCCCTTCCATTTCCTCAGTCTCAGCCCCCAAACATATTTTCTTCCCAGTTCCTGCTTTCCTTGGGCCCACAGAGGCCATGGGAAAACATCTCCCAGGTGAGTTCCATGCCACTGGTCATAGTTTGCTCCTTTCACGCTACTTCCTGGGACTTCAAGGGCCACTGACCTTGGGTTAGCAGTGGTCTCAGAGGATCATCCCGAAGGTAACAGCTTTTTTTTTTTCATCTCTGGCATGGGAGGAAGAAAGCTGGGGTGAGGAGGCTCCTAACCAGCTCTCCCCACTTCTCCCCAACCTCATTTTATGCATCCATCCATTCACTCATTTGACATTATGTATAGAGCTTCTGCTATATGCCTGACATTGTTATCTCTTCTGGGAACAAAACCAACCATCACAGTAATAACCAACAATTCCCCCGCCCCCACCAAGAAAATCCCAAGGTCCCAGCTTTCACAAAAACTTCCTGGCAATTGCAACTCAAGGTGGTTGTGTTAAGACAGGACACAGAACAGTGTTGGGGGGCACACGGTGGGCCACTTATTCAGTGGGGTGAGATGAGGGAGCATTTCTTTTGAGCTGAAAATGGGAAGGGAAAAGGGTAGATAGGGAAAGAGAAGGGCCTGCTCTTATCCACTGTTCTCCATCCACGTGGAGGACTAAAATGGGGAGGATGTGTTGAGCATGAGGCAGAGAGGAGTCATGAGGGAAAAGCCCAAGGAAACTGAGGCATCTCCTTCCCTTGGGGATGCTGGGGTGTAGCTCAGTGGTAGAGTGCTTGCCCAACAGGTGAACAACCCTGAAAACAAACAAGACATTACCAAAACCCCCAACCCCTCTCCTTCCCTTGGGTCAGTGTGATTTCAGATATTCTTAATCTCCTCCCCTGCATGCTTCTCTCCCATCCTCAAAGTCTAGAGCAAAAGTATAAACTCCAGACCTAGAACAGACAGGTTCAAAATCCGGTACTATCACCCCCATTTTAATGTTGGGAAGCTGAGGGCCAGAAGGGTGAGTTGAATTGCCCAAGTTTCAGAGGTCAGGAAGTGCAATGCTGACCTCTGGGTTCTTCTGACTTAACTCAAACCTTGAAATTCATTTCAGTGAAACTGTCTTCCTTTGTCAAGATCTAAGCCATGCATGGATGGCATCTGAGCCCTGTTCAGGGATACAGAACTCAAGAGAGTTCAGTGACCACCCTTCTAATTGACACGGAGGCTAAATTTAAAGAAAAACCCATCCCAACCCAGCTAGATGTCTGGCCCTGAGCCATAACAGGTGTGTATCAGCCCCTTTCATGGCCACATGAGGTCAGCATTGAGTCACCCACTGCCACCAGCACTAGAACCTGCACTCTCTCAGGAAGCCCTCCTGTCATTCCAAGAATGGGGAAAGGGACCATGGCAGTGCCAGAAAGATGCCCTAGGAACTTCGACTCAGGTTATAGCGTGTTCACGGCCCTGACTTTGCTCCTCAGTAACAGTCTTGTCCGAGGCTAGGCCCCTGAAGTCCTTCTCTCCCTCTGCTGAGTTCTCTGGTTCCCTTTGTCCTGCCTTCACTCCCCATCTCTGCCCACCCTAGCCAGGCTCATCTTGGGAAACAGTTCTAGTTTCCATGGTGACCAGCTGGTCAGCTGGCTCATCCCACCATCCCCCCTCTCTACCCTTTCCTGGAGCTTCAAGGGAAGGGTAGTGTGTGTGAATGGAGAAGGCAAGGTAGTATTTTGTGTCTTGGGAGCTGTGGCATTGGCCAAAAGGAGTTGGATTATCTTTCCTCCAAAGGCCCTTGGATGGGAGGTGGAAAGGCAGTGGGGTTGATGTCAGAAGGAAGATTATAAACACCTACATGGGGAAGTAAAGAATCCTGCAGGTTAGGAAGGCTGCGTTAGGACCTTGGCCCTTTGTCTGCATGGAGGACTGGAGTCTTGATTTCAGTCTGAATGGGCTGAAATCACCCAAAAAGCATGGGTGTGAGACATTGGAATAGCCACCAAGAGATTCTGTCCTCTGCCACAGGAGTGAAGAGAGGCCCCACCTCTTCAGTACCACACCCTTCTCTACTTGGGTAGGGAGAATGCACTCACCAACCTGGAAAGGATCATTCAGGTTGGATGGTTCTGAAGTGATGGAACCTCACCTTGACTGAAAAGGGAAAACGGAGGCAGGACCAGGTGGAGGAAGTGGTTCTTCTGCCCCAGATGAGGTGCAGGAATAGCCCCTGCACATATATTTGCTTGTATCCTACACTCAGAGATCAGATATCCAGGCTTTGCTATGAATTACTTTTTTTTTTTTTTGTAATGGGGATTGACCCAGAGGTGCTTTATCACTAGCTACATTCCAGCCCTTTTCAGCTTTTAGTTTGAGATGGTCTCACTAAATTGTTGAGGCTGACCTTGAACTTGTGGCCTCCTGCCTCAGTCTCCCAAGTAGGTGAGATTACAAGCATGTGCCCTTGTGCCTGGCTCCCCCTGAATTTTTGAACAGGAAAGATCTGAATTCTAGGACTAGCTAGCTCTGTGAGTGTTAGCAGATGACGGGTTAGTTACTTGCTCTCCTTCTGCCTTGGTTCCTTGAGGATAAATAAGAACAGTTACTGGGTGTCAAGGACCCTAATGACACAAAGTAGGATCCCCCAGTGACTGCAAATGAACAAACTGATCATGCATGCCTTTATTACATCCTATCATGATTGGTTTCCATGCCCTTTAGTCCCTGTAAACTTCAAGTTCCTGGAGGGTAGGAAATTGTGTTTCATTTTATACAGGGCACACATTGGCTGTCTAATACTTGTTTATTGAATGGATGCATCCATCCAGGAATGCATGAATGAATGAATGAATGTCAGTCCCCTTCCTTACTATCCTACCCGGTGTAGGGAAAAGCAATGTGAGATGGACAGCATGGGGTGGGGGCAGGCTGGCTGCAGTCACTCAGCCTGGTTTGTAGTCTGTGACTCTGCCTCCTACACCCACAGACCAGAAGCCTTAGAGATTATCTAGTCAACATTCTCACTGCACTGATGAAAAAATAAAGGCTGAGAGAGGGAAAGGCACTTGCCCAAGGTCAGACAACTCACTAATGGCAGAGCCAAGATTAACAATTAGAACTCAAGTTTCCTTGACCTCCAGCCTAGGGCATTGTACATACTTCATTGCTTTTCTGGGGCTGTTCTTCTAAGGGAGGAAGAAGGTTCAGTGAAGGCCGGTTCCAATGTCCTCTCCTCTGTCCTCTGTTAGTCCTTTTCTTACAACTAGCTTCATTCTCTCCCCTTTCACCCTATTCCATCGTCTGAAGTTTGGCTCTTGCCTTAACCCTTTACGATGCAACTAATAAGGATCTTCCTTATGATACCAAGACTCATTTTCCTTTCCCCCGCTCCTTAGACCCAGGAACTTGCGGGAGCCGGCTCGCGAGGGGTGTTGGTTGACCCTCGGGCGCCCCCTCCACGGAGGACAGGAGAGGAGTTGCGGCATAGATCTTCCCAGGATGGGCGGGCGGGCAGGAGGGAGGTGTGGAAAGCAGGGCTGGGACCGGGGAAGGGGTGCGCGGAGCCCCTGTTGCTTCTCCCCTTTACGGGGTGGTTATTAGGAAGGCTTGAGGAAGGCGGAGTTTGGGGGGCCGAGGGCGGGGCTGGGCTGCGCTGGGAGGAAGAGGGGGGGCGCGCTGGCTCCAGCTCCGTTCAGACAAAAGGCGGCGGCGGGAGCGGGCGGGAGGCGGAGCGGCGCCGCGAGGGCCTCAAGGTGACACCCGCCCCCGGCCCCGGCCCCCCCAGCCCGGCCCCTCTAGCCTGCCCCCCAACCCCGGCCCCCATCCCCTTACCCCGGGTGCCTTTTCCAGGCCCCCTCCCCCCGTCGGGGGGTGGGGAGCAGTGAGGGCCCCGCCCCCTCCCGCCCCTTCCCCAGGGCCAGCGCAGGATGCCCCCAGCCCCTGGCAGCCCCCCGGGAGGTCTTGAGCTCGACGCGCCCCCTCTACGCCATGTCCCCCCCTGGCTCGGCCGCGGGAGAGAGCGCCGGCGGCGGCGGCGGCGGTGGCGGCTCGGGGGTCCCGGAGGAGCCCATGGCAGCGGCGGACGAGGGCCCCGCCCGAGAGGAGGTGAGAGCCAGCGGCCCCTTCCCCCGGCACTGCCGCGGCCTGGTCCCCATCCCCCCCGCCGTGCGCGGCCCCCGCGGTTCCGCCGCAGCGCGGCCGGCGCCCCGCACCCCGAGCCGGCCGCCACAGCCGCAGTCCGGCGCCGCCGCCCCCACCTGGCGGCCGGAGCTGTCCGCGGTGGCGA